TCTCTCCCTCCCTCTTTCTCTTTGCACTGCTTCTATCTCTCTCTGTCCTTCTCTCTCTCCCTTTCACTGTCTCTGTCCTTCTCTTTCCACCCCTTCTCTGTCTTCTCTCTCTGTCCTTCTGTCTCCCTGTCCTTCTCTCTCTCCCTTTCCTTCTCTTTGCATCTTCTCTCTCCTTGACCCTCTTTCTCCATCTGCACTCTCTCCATCTCTGTCACTTACTCCCTCTCTCTTCCTCTATCAATCTCCCTTTCTCCTCTTTTTCTCTCTTTCAGATCTGAAAGTGCCCACACAATTTTGTCCCCATTTTCATTTCTCTTCCCAAATTTATGCTCTAGGCCAAATATTTGCTTCACCAAATCTGTGTCCCCACCAATATTTTGCTGCCCCCAATATTATGCTGAGTCCCACTCCCTGGGACAGAAGTAAATGAGTCTGTGTGGACTGACTGGCCTGTGACTGACTGCTGTAATGCGCAGCAAGATCCCAGCGCCAGGATTACAGAAGCTTCATGTCACAGAGGGGGTCCTTTTGGACGTCATGCCTGACCCCCAAACCCCTCCTGAATTACATAATCCTGGTCCGTCCAGGCTCCTCAGAGTTTGCCGCTGTGAATGGCCCTATTGACTACCCTGTCTGTGGAGACCGCTCCTCTGTCCTGTCTCAGCCTCTGCCTCTTGTGCTCTCCGCCTTTCATCTCTCTCTCGTACAACAGCCCCTCCCTCTCTCCCCCGCTTTCACGCTCTCCTGCTCCCTCCTTGTTTACCACTCTCCCCCTCAGGAAGTTAGAGGCACGGCCATTGTCTAATGGCACCTCTTCCCCTCCCTTCAGAGACTCTCAGCCCCTGAGCTGGAGGACAAATTTCCAGCCTGCAGCCATCCCCGGCCACACACTCAATGAGAAAGGTATGTTATGCCCCTTCAAGTCATGCTCCCCTCCCCCCAACTTATTGGACAACAATGGGAGTAAAACCCAGGACAGACGGAGAAAAGATGCACCCCACTGCATTAACTGTACAGCACCCTGTGGCACTGAGTTCAATTATTTCCAATGTTCCTTCCCCAATCACTGGACAGAACAGAGGGATTAGGGAGAAAGAGGGAGAGAAAGAGAGAATGTCTGACAGAGGGAGGGAGAGAGAGAGGATGAGAAAAGGGCAGACAGAGGGAGTGGGTGAGAGAGAGAACCAGGGAAGGGCAGACAGACAGCTAGAGAGAGAGAGAGTGAAATCCTAGGGAGAGAAACAATATCAGACAGATACAGAGAGAAAGATGGAACAGAGGTAGAGAAAACCCACAGAGAGGAAGGGCAGAAAGATAGCGAGAGTGAAATCCCATGGAGAGGTATAGGACAGCAAGAGAGAGCGTTGCAACAGCAGAGAGGTAGAGATGAGAGAGTGGGAGTGCTGTTGCAATGCAGACAGAATGATCTACAGACAAAACAGCAAGATCCCACAGAGCTGAGCGAAAGATGCAGACAGAGATGAGCAAGGAAGTTGGTTGGGAAAGACTGAATGATTAAGCATTCCTGAAAAAAGCGGTGAGGTGACAAAGAGACAGAGAGTTGTAGGAAGGGAATCTACAGAGGAACGTGAACAGGATGGAGACATGAAGGATGGGGATTTAAGGAAACATAGGGTGGCACGGTGGCTCAGTGGTTAGCACTGCTGCCTCACAGTGCTAGGGACCCGGGTTCAATTCCACCCTCGGGCGACTGTCTGTGTGGAGTTTGCACATTTTCCCCATGTCTGCATGGGTTTCCTCCGGGTTGTTAGGTTTCCTCCCACAGTCCAAAGATGTGCAGGTTAGATGGATTGGCCACCCTAGATTGCCTGTAGTGTTCAGGGATGTGTAGCTTAGGTGGGTTATAGGGGGATGGGTCTGGGTGGGATGCTCCAGGGGTCAGCGTGGACTTGTTAGGCCAAAGGGCCAGTTTCAACAATGTAGGGATTCTATAATCTATGTGGGAGAGGCAGTTGGGAACATGGAAGTGGAGATGAGAGAGGAAGTCAGTGAAATCTGTGGGAATCAACTGTGCAGTAGCCATATTTTTGCCCCTTTGTCTCCCCCCAGCCCATAGCTCACTCCTTGCGGTAAAAATCTCTGAGAAGGCCTGAGCCCCATAATTATTTTCCATGTCTTTGTGTGTGTGTGTGTGTGTGTATGTAAATGAACGACACAGAGGCAGGACAGTTTCTGATTATTCTCTCTTGCTGGTTCCGTGCAGTGTCTGACAATTCATTACCACCGAACGATTTGATTCTGTCTTTCTCTGCTTTGTCCGAGTTTCAGCTCCCAAATTAAATGTTGAATCAGTCATGATCCTATTGAATGGCAGAGCTGGCTCAAGAGGCTGAATGGCCTCCTCCTGTTTCTATTTCAGATAGTCTTATACTTTTAACACTATTTTCCAGTTTTTGGCCTAAACCCTGGGGGCTGTGACTACACAAGTGACTGATCTGAAGAGTGCTCCACTCTTTTGGGAGTTTCTGAGTGAACCAGCCTTTCTGGATTTGAGTTCCAGATTCTGAATGAGAAGTGAAATCTCCTCAAGGCTCCTCTTAGTCTCTCATTACAAGATGGAGCAGGCTAGTCAAGGGGATGCAAAATATAGACCAGATGTGCTGTCTTCCCCAGCTCCATTTTGGAAGGACACAAGGGAGGGGCTTGTCTTCTTCATCAGCTTCCCCTGCTCTCCCTTCTGCCTTGGTGCTGGCTCCTATCGAGGTACAGGCTGGCAATAATCGGGTTATACAGAACATGCCCCTTGATTGAGGTTGGTTAGCTTGGTTGGCTGGACAGTTGGTTTGCAGTGCAGTGATGCCAACAGTGTGGGTTCAATTCCCACATTGGCTGGGGTTACCATGAAGGGCTGTCCTTCTCAATCTCTCCCCTTGACTGAAGCATGGTGACCCTCTGATTAAACCACCACCAGTTGTGATAATAACTAGCTTGGTCTAGACACATGGACGGACCAAGTACGGAAGATTGTCTTCAATGGAAAAAGAATCATCATAACACTATAAGATGTAGCAGCAGAAGTAAACGATTCAGTCAACAAGGTGCAGAGCTGGATGAACACAGCAGGCCAAGCAGCATCATAGGAGCAGAAAGGCTGACGTTTTGGGCCTAGACCCTTCATCAGAAATGGGGGAGGGGAAGAGGGTTCTGAAATAAATAGGGAGAGAGGGGGAGGCGGATAGAAGATGGATGGAGGAGAAGATAGGTGGAGAGGAAACAGACAGGTCGAAGAGGTGGGGATAGAGCCAATAAAGGTGAGTGTAGGTGGGGAGTTAGGGAGGGGATAGGTCAGTCCAGGGAGGACGGACAGGTCAAGGGGGCGGGATGAGGTTAGTAGGTAGGAGATGGGGGTGCGGCTTGAGGTGGGAGAAAGAACAGGTTAGGGAGGCGGGGACGAGCTGGGCTGGTTTTGGGATGCGGTAGGGGGAGGGGAGATTTTGAAGCTTGTGAAATTCACATTGATACCATTGGGCTGCAGGGTTCCCAAGCAGAATATGAGTTGTTGTTCCTGCAACCTTCGGGTGGCATTGTTGTGGCACTGCAGGAGGCCCAAGATGGACATGTCGTCTGCTGAATGGGAGGGGGAGTTGAAATGGTTCGCAACTGGGAGGTGCAGTTGTTTATTGCGAACCTATGCTCTGCACCTTGTTGTCTCTGATTCTCCAGCATCTGCAGTCCCTGCTATCAACGATTCAGTCACCCATGCTTTTTCTAATATCCCAACGGTTGGGTAAAAGGCAGGAGATTGACACCAGATAATACAGCTGGACTAGGTAATAGAGCTGAAGCAGGCTTAATGGACCGAATGGCCTCCATGACTGAATTATTCTGTGAATTCTGATTGGACACTGTGGTCTGATCACTGGTCACTGTGACCATGGCAGGTTGGAGCCAGTGAGAGTGAGGGAGTTGTCATAGAGTTATAGAGATGTACAGTAAGAAACAGACCCTTCAGTCCAACTTGTCCATGCCAAACAGATATCCTAAATTAACCTAGTTCCATTTGCCAGCATTTAGCCCATATCCCTCTAAACCCTTCCTATTCATATACCCATCCAGATGTCTCTTTAAATGTTGTGATTGTACCAGCCTCCTCCACTTCCTCTGGCAGCTCATTCCATACACACGCCACCCTCTGTGTGAAAAAGTTGCTGTTTGGGTCCCTTTTATATCTTTCCCCTCTCACCTTAAACTTATACCCTGTAGTTTTGGACTCATTTGTCTATTTAACCTATCCATGCCACCCATGATTTTATAAACCCCTATAGGTCACCCCGGGCCTCCGATGCTACAGGGAATATAGCCCCAGCCTATTTAGTCTCTCCCGATAGCTCAAACCCTCCATCCCTGACAGTGTCATAGTAAATCTTTTCTGAACCCTTTCAAGTTTCATAACATCCTTCCTATAGTAGCAAGACCAGAATTTCACACAGTATTCCAAAAATGGCTTAACCAACGTCCTGTACAGTCTCAAGATAACTTCCCAAGTCCTATACTCAATGCACTTACCAGTAAAAGCAAGCATACCAAATGCCTTCTTCACTATCCTATCTACTGGGACTCCACTTTCAAGTAACTAGGAACCTGTACTCCAAAGTCTCTGTGTTTAGCAAATCTCCCCAGGACCTTACCAATAAATGTATAAGTCCTGCTTTTCCAAAATGTTTAGCGGTTTTGTTTAAATTGTGCATTTGCAGGAGTTCCAGGCAGGTAGTTTAGGGACAAAAGCAAAGGTGCTGGAAAAGCTCAGCAGGTCTGGCAGCATCTGTGAAGAAGAAATCAGCATTAATGTTTAGGGTCTGGTGACCCTTCCTGAAACGTTAGCTCTGATTTTTTTATTCACGGATGCTGCCAGACCTGCTGAACTTTTCCAGCAACTTTGTTTTTGTTTCTGATTTACAGCATTCGCAGTTCTTTTGGTTTTTATTTAGATAGTTTAGGGATTTGCCAAAATTGAAATTCCAGTTCTATTTTCTGTCCAGGTATAATCCACATCCAACGTGAACAACGAGGTGAGAAAAAGGATCCATCTGGAAGGAATTGGAGATTGTTGAATGAAGAATAACAGCAAATTAATCAGTACAGGACTATGAGAGTACCAACCTAATTGAATCCTTCAAAGGGCTTTCATAGATGAACAATTGAGTAAGGTAAGAAAAAGTTCTATTTAATGTGGTTAAAATACTAGTCCTTTAGACCCTGGATAAACAATATGAGGTCAGGCAGGAAGCTTTAGACACAAAAATTTACAAAGTCAGGAAATAGTGTGAAGCTGAATGCTAGAACAATTCCCCGGTATGAGGTTTTGCAGTCAAATGGCTTCACTTTCCATTAAAAAACATGGTTACAAGGGATTTTCTTTGTTTGGTTTGTGTCATAGCATTTGATCAGTAAGGTGACTCCATTTTCAGCCAGAGTAGAACCAACTGACAAGATACTCTCTTTATTTGGTTTATCTGAAGTCTATCACTGTTTAGTTCTGAATATTACACTGCTTCTGACAAATCAAGTGGGAGACTAAACTAAGTTACTTCCTGTCAATTCAGTAACAAGATACTGAGGCAAACATCTAAGACTAGCACTACCTCTGACCAGAAATAATAGAGTCTTGTCGGATAGTAAATGTTGAATACAGCCTCATGACTATCAACACTTGCAATTTGTACTACTGGAGTCAATGAGATATTTCATTGATCACAGAGACAAACAACATAAGGCCACAATGCAAGGCAGCATACTCCTTTCCTAATTAAGAATCTCAAATTCAAATAAGATCAATGACATACAAGTGATCCCAATGGTATGATGGGAGAACTGACTAAAACTGATATTGTAAGTAGACTAAGAATATGATAAATAAACAGGAAACATTTAAATGATTGTTCAATTTAAGAAAGAATACATTCCCTTAAAAAACAAAAACTGAGCAGAGATCTATCTAAAGGCTCACTCAGAAAATGTCACTTTCTTTTTGAGGCATAGACAGGATAAATTATGGGCATAAGGAAATGATAGACATTGAACAAATAATGTTCTGTCTTCAGACAAGAAAAAAACAAGAGAAAATCAATAGACTAATAAGAATGAAGTAACTGAACTCTTTTTAGTATTAGCAGAGACAAAGTTCTAGAGAAAATTAAGGAACTTTTTTTCATTCCTGGGATATAGAAGTTATTGTCTTAGTTAGCATTTGTTGCTGTTGAACTGAGAGTTTTGCTTGCCATTCCAAAGGGTAGTTAAGAGTCAATGACATTCAAGAAGGTCTGGATTCACTTATAGGCCAAAACAGATGGCAGTTTTCCCTCTCTAAAAGGCATGAGTGAACCAGATGAATTTTAATGACAATTCATAATCATTATTAGCCCAACTTTTAATTCCAGATTTCTATTGAATTCAAATTTCACCACAGTGTGATTCAAATCCATGCCCCTAAAATGTTAGCTGAATGTCCTAGACTCATCCAGTCTGTCATAATTCTCAGGACTTGATAGCCTGCATTCTAAGGTTCTAAAAGATACAGATGCAGAAATAGTGGTCATGGTTTTCCAACATTTCCTCGTATCTGGATGGGTGTCAGCAGATTCCAAGTTAGCAAATGGAACATGGCAGCTCAAGAAATAAGGGTGAGAGAGAACAAGAAACTTGCTGGCAGAGGGCTTGACTTTGGTCATCAGAAAAATGCTGAAATCTATTATGAAGGAAATCTTCATGCACTTGAAAAAGTATACTCTGATTAGAACAAGTCACCATGCTTTAACAAAAGGGAAATCTTGTTTGATAAACTTTTTTTGTGCGTGTGGTGAGACTAATCAGGGAGATAAAGGAAATCGTGGATGTTGTACACTTAGATTTTCTATATACAGGGGATTCTGTAAGGTGCTGTACAAAAAATAAATACTTAAGAATTTGAAGTTGGGGCTAATACATTAGCAGGGACAGAATTAATTAATGGATAGGAAGCACAGCATTACAGAAAATGGGCTGGTACTTAACAAGGTAACATTCTCATTTTCATTTTTAGTGTTTCTTTCTGGAATCTGGAACAACTGTAACCATTATGGTTAAAAGTTCAAGTGGAGGAGAAATTCCAGTTGCTTAAAAAAATGAAAATGGGCATGTGCAGGTTCACAAGATTCTTGAAAACAAGAGGGCCGCTTGCTGCACGAGGTAAGTTTTTATACAGGGAGAAACAAAAAGCAAAACAGTAAAGTTTTCTTCAGATTTTTTTAAAAAGGTGACTTAAAATAAGTTTTTTTTTTTCTGTAGAAAATCAGCCTGGGGAGTTTGTGATGGAGGATAAAGAATGTCAGATGAATTGAATGAATATTTTTGTCACTCTTCAGTAGAGAGCTTGCAAGTAGCATGCTGGAAATAGCTGTAAATCTGGAATTGAAAGGGAGAGAGAAAGTCAAGAAAATTTGTACTTGTTAGGGAAGCTGTACTGAGCAAATTGTTGGAACTGCGAGTGAGACAGTTAATATATTGGTTTAATTTTCCAAGATTCATTACATTTGGGGAAAGTTTATTTACATTGGAAAATAGCTAATGTAACTCCTTTGTACAGAAATGGAGGGAAGCAGAAGCTTGGAAACTACAAGCAGGTAGCTTAACATCCATCATCGGGAAAATGTTAGAAGCAGTCATTAAAAACATTATAACAAGACGCTTGGATAGGTTCAAGATAGTCAGGCTGAAGCAACATGTATTTTTTTGGCAGGGAACTCGTGTTAAACTAATTTATTGGAGTTCTCTAAAGTAACGACCTGTGCTATAGATAATGGATGTATTGTGCTTGAATTTCCAGAAAGCATTTGATATGGTGATACATCAAAGATTATTCCAGAAAATAAAAGCTCATGGTATAGTATGTAACATATTGGCAGAGCCAGAAGATAGGCAGGCTAACAGTGTAGGAAAAAATGGATTTTTTTCAGGCTGCAGGATGTCAAGACTCATGTACGACTTGTCAGTGCTGGAGTCTCAAATCTTTGCAATTTTGAAGACATGAAGGATGAAGGGACTGATGTATGATAGTTAAATTTGCTGATGACAGGTTGGAAGTTGAGTTGTGAAGAGGATATAAAAGACTAATGTGTAAATTAAAGCACAAGGGATTTTGGGATAGTGTATTCAGATGTTTAGAAAACTGATTCGTAGACAGAAACAAAGAGTAGGAAACATGGCTGACGTTTCGGGCCTAGACCCCGAAACGTCAGCCTTCCTGCTCCTCTGATGCGGCTTGGCTTGCTGTGTTCATCCAGCTCTACACCTTGTTATCTCAGATTCTCCAGCATCTGCAGTTCCTACTATCTTGGAAACATGGCTATTTTTCTGAGTGGGTGATACTTTAAAGGATCAGTGCTAGGATGCAACTTTCACAATAAGTACTAATTATGTGAATGATGCAACTAAAAGTAATATCTCCAAATTTGCAAATGACACAAATTTGGGTAGGAGGGTAAACTGTGAGGAGGATAGAGAGATGCTTTAATGTGATTTGGACATACTGAATGGACGAGCGAATGCATAGCAGATGGAGTATAATGTGGATAAATGTGAGGTTATCCACTTCAGTAGCAAAAGCAGGAAGGTGGATTATTATCTGAAATTAACCGAAAATTCTTCAAATAAAGTATTTGGAGAATGCTGAGTAGTTACATGACATTGATGTTTATAGTAGAGAAGAGAACAACATACTTGGCCTTTTCTTGGAACTGATATTGAGTCAGGAGTAGAGACTGCAAAACAAATGTAAGTGAAATAAAATTAATCATGAAAATGAATGATAGGTCACTAGGACAGAATGCTTTTAGTCCAGGTTTTCAAGGAAGTAGTTGAGATTTGTAATGAATTTTTGGATGTGAGCATCACTGCTGATGTTAGCACTTATTGTTTGCCCTCATTTGTTCTTGAGAAGATAATGATAAGCTGCTTTCTTGAACTGCTGCAGTACATGTGATATAGGCGCACACAGATTGTTTTAAGAGAGGAAGTTCCAGTTTTTGGACCCACTAGTGACTGAATAGTCTGTATGTTCGCAAGTCAGTATGATGTGAGACTTTGGGAGAGAGCTTGCACATGCGTACGACAATATGAAATGGACCAGGCCATAGGCCATTTGGTCCCTTAAGCCTAATGTGCCATTCAGTAGGATCATAGCTGATCTGAATTTGCTCACATCCACTATCTTGCCCTTTCCTCATAACCCTTGATTCTCTTGTAGATCAAGAATCCATCTATTTCAGTCCTAAATATACACAAGGAGTCAGCTCTGTGTGGCAAGGAGTTCCAAAGGCACTCAACGCTTAAAAAAATTTCCCTGTCATCCACATCTTAAATTAGCATCCCTTTATTCTAATTCTATGCCCTCTGGTCCTTGACTTTGCCATGAAAGGAAACATCCTTCTCAGTATTTACCCTGTCAAGCTCCTTAACAGTCCTGTATATTACAATGAGATTACCCCTTATTCTTCTAAACTCCAGAAAGTAGATTCCCAATTTGCTTAACCTTTGCTAATAAGACAATCCCTCCATACTAGGGATCATCCTAGTGAACTTTCTCCGAACTGCTTCAAATAAATTGATACTTTTTCTTAAACAAGGTGACCAAAACTCCTCACTGTGCTCCAGACGTGGCATCACCAGAACCTTGTACAGTAGCAGTAAGGCTTCCCAACTCCTCTCCTTCAAATAAGGGTCAATGTTCCATTATTCCAAATGCAAGAATTTATAAGATGCCACACTGACGGACTGTAACTGCAAATTGTGTATTTTTGTCCAAATTAGATTGTAAATGCAAGTAAACAAACATCTTGGATCAAATGATTCACCCCACAGGGTGTGTGTGTGTGTGTGTGTGTCTGTCTGTCTGTCTGTCTGTCTGTCTGTCTGTGTGTCTTTGAGAGAGAGTGTTCCCTTGTGTGATGCTAATATCCAAATCGATGATCTGACATGTCTTGCAGAGATTGCCATTGTGGTGTTGTGTTTGATATTGTCCTTAAGGCTGAGTAATTTGCTGCGAATGATGGTCTGTTTAAGATTTGCAAGACACATCAGATCATTGACTTGGATACTGCCATCGCATGTGGGAACACCACTCACCACGTGGCAGGTACACATGTGACTTGAACAATGTTGTCTACCGCATATGCTGCAGGCAAGGATGCCCCGAGGCATGGTATATTGGCAAGACTGTGCAAATGCTATGACAACTGATACCACGCAACAATCACCAGACAGGAATGTCCCCTCGCAGCTGGGGAACACTTCAGCGGTCAAGGACTGCTTCCGATCTTTGGGTAAGCAGACTCCGAGATGAACAACAACGCAGAATTGCTGAGCAGAGACTGATAGCAAACTTCCATACCCATGAAGACGGCCTCAAGTGTGATCTTGAGTTCATGTCGCACTACAGGTGACCCCATCACACTGTTCTGTATCTGCAAAATCTTCCTTACTTCCCTGTTTTGACAGCATCACCTTGCTAAATTGTCATGACCTCTGTACCTTAATGAGTTGGTACAGTTTTGAAATACTTATTTCACACTCTCACACTCTCTCTGTCTCTCTCTGTCACACACACACTCACACACACATATCATTTAATTTCATCCAAGATATTTTGTTTATTTGCATATACTTTCTATTTTGTTCAAAAAAACACACAATTTGTAGTTACGGTCAGTCAGTGTGTCATCTTATAAATTCCTGCTTTCAGAATAAAACCAGTCTGATTCCAGTTTAGTACTCTGAGACAGATTCTGAACAAGGCCGAACACCTACAATTCAGTGTCTGAACTGAGATGTCACCTTTTGTATATTCCTATTCCTCTGCCTGATTGTCATGACAGCACATCACTGACATTGACGTCATAAACACTTTACACACCATCTAACACTCTTGGTAATCTGCAGGGACTTGATATCTGACTCTCCACTCATACTAGTTGTATGATCTTTTGATCTCTCTGCCTATAAAGTCTGTGTCTGTGTGCTCTCCTCTTTTACTGCACATGATGAAGGGGCTGCACTCTGAAAGCTTGTGTGATTTCCAATAAACCTGAACTATAAACTTGAGCTATAACCTGGTGCCATGTGGCTTCTGACTTTGTCCACCCAGTCCAACACCGGTACCTCCTCACACCAGACAAGACAAAAAAATCATTCCACACCAGCCTCGAACTATCGCTATCCCATTGAAGAAAATGTTCCTCAGGTAGATAGCAAGAACTACAGATGCTGGACTCGGAGTCAACGTGGTGTGGAGCTGGAGGAACACAACAGGTTAGGTAGCATCAGAGGAGCAGAAAAGATGATGTTTTGGGTTGGCAAGAAGGGTCCCAACCCGAAATGTTGACTTTCCTACTCCTCTGATACTACCTGACCTGCTGTGTTCCTCCAGCTCTACACTGTGTTGACTGTTTCTCAGGCAATGCCTCACAGCTGACCTGAAGATGACCAAGATACCGGAGTCACAGAGTGCTCACAGCATCTGGTCCACCCTAAAACCCTCCATAGTCAGCAGCTGTGTGGTGACCTTCGGCCTCTTGACCAGGAAACTCCAAGACTGGCTCAGTGAGAATAAGCAGGAGATCCAGGATCTCCTATATCGCAAATGTGAGGTATTCCTGAACAGGCAGCTCCACCATAACTCAAGCTAAAAGACACAAGCAGACACACAACTGACGGTCGATGTGTAACAAAGAACCTGTGACCTAAAGAACAGACGATGGGTGGTGACAGTCAGCAGGAGGGTCAGCAATTCACTGACAGCCACAATGTGTGTGGATTCTTCAGTGCAATCAAAGCCATCTACAGCCCAAGTACCCAGGGAGTGACCCCACTGAGAGCCAAAAACAGAATGTCACTTATCAAGTACCGAGAGACAGCCAGCACTCACTGGAGAGAGAACTTCGAGGGTCTCCTTCACCAATTTTCAGCCTTCAACACAAGTGCTTCTGACACCATCCCACAACACACTACCCATCGCCATCTCAGCAAACCTCCAACCCACCATGAGGGCAAAAAAAGCCTCTGACAGCTGAACAACAACAAGGTCACCACCACAGATAGAATCCCCGGTAAAGGATTAAAATATGGCAGAGAGACATTCTTGGCTTGAATCCACGACCTCATCACTCTGGAATGAAGGAGCATACTGGGAGATC